GCCCCGCACAGAAATGGCCAAGTTGCTGCGATTTTCAGTGGTTGACAGGCACACATCTCCCATTTAAGGTCCCAGCTGTAACTGTTGAAGGGACTTCAGCAGATAATTCTAGCTGTAAAAGGCTTTGCTTAAAATAGACCCTAAAAAAGGTTTTACAAACCCTAACCCTAATATTTAGTAGAAAATTTTTCTGGCCCCGTTACCAAGAGAACCCAGCGTCGGAGTCAGCTAACTCTGCACATATAAGATGGTCAGCTCTTTGGGACAGGGCCTGTGTTTTTGTTGTGTGCTTGTACAGCACCTAGCACAATGGGTTCCTGGTCCATGATTGGGGCTCCTAGGCCCTACTGTAATAAAATAATAAATAACCATAATAATAAAGTGACGATGCGTGTGAAACCTCGGATTTCATTGGGGCTACTTACAAGTGTTACAGCGTTTGTAAGATTGGGATCCGAGTATCTAGTTTATCTATAGGGCTTATATATTTTAAGAGTGGCATCTTCATACTCTCTAGACCACATGGAACTGAGAGCAGGGGAAAGTTACACAGAAATTTTGCAGGGGAAGGGGCAAAGTGGGTTTCTGATTTATAAAGCAGGAAGCGATGCAATTTTGAAGTTACAATGCTCTAATTGCTATCTAATGGGTAGATGAATCATATTTTTGTTGGAGGTGTTGGCATCTATCCATACTCTTTGGGCGTTACTGACATACATGCATCTCAGGGAAAACTTTAAGGAAAGATGATCGTTCTGGACCTGCAAATGCTTTTTTAACCTGAAACTTTCCCTTGCAGCATTTTGAATCCAAACAGGACAGCAATAGTAGGAAAACAAGAAAGTGAAACTGACTAGAAACAAAGGGAAACTGACCAGTCTGGCCTTTTGGTCCCCAAAGTACAAGAAGTAAACAAGCAGTTCAAAAGGAAAAAAGTAAACTAGCTATTTAGAAAGCTTTTTTGTATTAATCCCAGGTGGTGCTATTACTGGAGAAAACTTTTAAAAATTAGGTGATTTCTCGCTTGTCAGTGTTCCTTTAAGATATAATGAAAATGTCAGCAGTCTTGCTACCTTCTGACTGTTCTCTTTGGCTGTTCTAGGTCTAATGGGTCGAGCGATCCCCCCTGACAGACACAGTCCCCATAACTTAAAGGAGCAGCATCATATCCGGGGCTCAATTACACAAGGTAATACTGGCAAATACCCAGATCAGGAAGTATATGTGGGGGGGGGGGGCAGGCCATGACATGTGACATTTCCTCATGTGCAACTCAGCACTATCCATTAACCCTGGATGCAATTAGTGTGGAAGGAACTAAGGTCTGAGTTGTCCCACTGGTTCTGCAGTCACATTGCAGACCTAGCCAGCGACTGGAGAAGCAGAGTCTCCTAGTGGACTGGGACTCAGGGGACTTGAGGTCTACTTCCAGCTCTGCCACTGGCCTGCTGGGTGACTATGGGCAAGTTACTTCCCTGCTCTGTGCCTCAGTTTTCCTCATCTGTAAAATGGGGATAATGATCCTGACCTCCTGTGTCAAGTGTTTTGAGATCAAATGATGCAAAGGGATAAGTGAGAGCAAGGTATTCATCATCATCATCATCATATCTGCTTCTTGGCAAGGGTGAGATTTTTCAGAAGTGAGCCATTGACATTTGGCCTCACTCTGTTCTCGTTTAAGTCACTGGTAAAATTCCCATTGGGGAGCTCACTGAGAGCAGAGCTGAGCCAACGCAGAGCATTTCTGAAAAATCCCACTCTTGGTCTTTATGACCCCATACGGCGAGGCAGTTGGGGCTTTGCAGAACCAGTTGGGTTGCCCAGGCTCTGTAGTGGCCTTGCATGTGAACTCCATCAAACCCCCATTGCCCACAGCCTGTATAGAGGCCGTAAGTACATCATTCAGTTTGCATGACCTGCTTCTTTGGAGACTCACATTGGTGCATTACCTTCTTGGGGGGTTGCAGGAATCCCACGATCCTACGTGGAGGGCCACGAGGACTACCTCAGAAGAGAAGCCAAACAGCTCAAGAGGGAAAACACTCCCCCAAGGGACTTATCCGACACTTACAAAGTCAGGCCTCACGAGGGCCTCGCTCCCTTGAAAATGAAAGCAGCTCACGAAGGCCTCGTTGCCACTGTGAAGGAAGCAGGAAGATCAATCCACGAGATTCCCAGGGAAGAGTTAAGGCGCACGCCTGACATCCCGGTGGCAGCAAGGCCTCTGAAGGAAGGATCCATCACACAGGTGCGTTCCTTGGGGGAGGGGCAGGTTAGTTTGCATGAGGTAAAGGGGGTCAGTACGGCGCCAGGTGGATGAAGGCACCCAAGCACCGGAGAACTGGGCCAAAGAGAGGTCTCCGTGGGGGTGTCTCCTGTAGAACTTTGGCCCCTGTTTTGAAATACGTTAAAGTTTGGCACGTACTTGGCCCTCTTTCCCCAGAGGGGCGCAGTGCACACATGGGGAGTCACAGAGCTTGAAAAGATCTCCAGGGGGCTGCATGTCCAGCCCCTTCATGGGTACCCTGTCAGAGCAATTCTGCATGGGGTTTGTCGTCCAGAGGATATTTTAAGTCCTAGCAAACATTGCGAGTGATTCTTTCACTTATTGCCCACCTGAATCTTTTAGTACCTGGGGTATGAGTGTAACCTCCGAACTAATTGGGCCTTGTTACTTGTGTAGACTCCTGGCGAACTTAGTTAGTTAAACTAAGGGTCTGTCTGCGCAGCAAAGCTGCCTGGGCTAACTGACCCGGGCTAGCTTGAACCCAGCTAGTGCAGGTCACAGTTGCAGTGAAGCCAGTACAAGCCCAGCACGGTCCCTGATAGGCACTCGGCTCACTAGCCTTGTGTGGTGCCCACGCTGTGCTGTCTTGGCTGCTATTGTTAGCCATGCTAGCTAGATTCCAGCTCGCTCAGCTAGGCTGGCCCGTTGTAGAGACGTACCCTGGGAGCAGAGGTGGAAAGAAGTGGAATGGGTTGTGCTTTTGCAAAAATGTCATTGGTCAAGTTCTTGTTTTGTAAAACAAGGGGCCTTCTGTCTACATGACACCTCCTTAATCTCCTCCTCCTGCCCCCGCCATGAAATATTGGGGTGGTGGGATGAGATGAATTATGCCAATTTTGGCCTCTCTCTAATGAAGAGTACCCCTTTCTAACCACCTTTCTGAGACACCCACCCACCCCATGTAAACTTCTTGGGTCCTGTGTTCTCAGTTACACAGGTATAAACCCAAAGTAAACTCACTGAAGTCAGTCGGAGTGACTCTGGATTATGTAGGTGTCGCTAGGAGCAGGGTCTGTCACCTCCAGCAGGGCCGGCTTTAGGAATTGAGGAACAAGTGCTTGGGGCACGTCTCGTGGCTTGGACTCGCACCGTACATGGAGCGTTTCGATAGCAGCTGTTTAGAATACTCATGACTGTTGATTGTATCGTATTTCTCTGGGGTGTGTGGGAGAAGCGCAGTGGATATAGACACTCATTGGTGGTGATTCACCTTCCTGGTGTCACAGTGGGGAATGTGCATTTACATGCCATGTTCTGTTGGGCTGTCGCTCCTGGAGACGGTTGATTCCAATGAGAATAGGAGTCTCCACTCACCCTTACCTGTTCCAGTGGAATAGCATTGCCTCCTAGTTCTGAGTCTCACCGCTGCAGTTCTGTGTACAGTATTAGTGCTGTTGATTTTCAGTGGGACTTCTGTTCCCAAGTCACCTGAGCACGGCGTGCGAGTGACAACCTAAAAGAGCAAACGGAGATCTTCACTGATTCTGCCCCATTGCGTTCCCTTCCCCACTCTGATGCCCTCTTCGCTGCCTTGTTTCCCCAGGGTACCCCGCTGAAATACGACAGCAACTCTTCTTCAGTAAGTGCCAAAAAGCATGATGTCCTGTCGATCATCGGGAGCCCAGGGAGGACTTTTCACTCTGTGCACTCGCTGGACGTCATGCAAGACCCAAGGACTCTGGAAAGAGTTTGTTACGAGGAGAGCCTGAAAAGCAGGCCCAGCCCAGTTACAAACTCTGGAGGTTCAATTACCAGGGGAGCCCCCGTGATTGTCCCTGAGCCCGGAAAGCCTCGCCGTAGCCCGCTTACCTACGAGGACCACGGGGCAGCGTTTAGTAGCCATCTGCATCGAGGTTCTCCGGTATCCACAAGGGAGTCGACCCCAAGGCAGCATGAAGGTAACTCTTGTTCTCCAGCAGACCCCTAATGTGCTGGGGACATGTAGGGCTTTTAGGAAATGCTAGGATTGGAGCATACAGGGCGTTGGCAGGTTCCCACCCTCGCCCCCTCACAAACGCTAGAGGGAAATGTGGGTAGTTGCCGTGGACCAAATGTTGTGGTGTAAATCTGGAATATCTCTTGGAAGCCAATGGAGATGGCTCCAGATTGACACTGGAATCGCTGAGACGGAGATTTGGCCCTGTGTGATTCTGAAGGCCGTGCTGCAGAGGAGGCGTCTACTCTGTACGCAGGCTTTGATCTAGAACGCCCATGTTTTAATGGTGTGGGAGAAAGCTCAGTGCTAAGTAACATGGAAAATTGGGGGGAGGTAGGTTATTTTCTCCCCTTTCTTCTGTGCAAGTGTAGGTGTTTGTCTACCCAGCTCTGCATTTATACCTCATCCATCACCATAGCATCTGAGGGCTTTGGCTGTAGTTGGGTATAATCCCTGCTAGCCAGCAGACGGAGACAGTCCAGTTGGGTTGTTGAGACCTGACATCCCTTTCGGGAGATGCAAAAGTTTTGCTGCCTCAGAATGCTTGTGTGTTTCCAGCAGGGGGCGCAGCTCCACCTGCAGGCGTAGAAATCACTTGGGCCACTCGCCAGCAGCCTGAAGACCCCGGCCTGGCAGAGCACTGGGATTGTGCTGCCATAGCTGCTCTCGGAGGCCACATTCAAAAGCCAGCAAGGCTGCTTGGTCAGGCAGAATTTGGCACAGTGCAAATCTAGCAATCCAGAGCACAGACGTAGCCAGAATGACTCGCAGCCTGGCTGATAGTATTGCTCTTCAGTCCAGCAAATGCCTGTTTCCTTTCGTCCTGTTAACTCTTGGTTGCTTGGTGAAACACAAGCACATATGCATAGAGCACATTTATTGTAACAGACAGCGTCCGCTCCAGCAGCGCTTTCCCCTAGATCCAGCCAGAGCCTCAGGGATCGTGAATCATCAGGCGGAGCAAGATAAATCTCATCCTGACTGCGACTGTGCCAGTGACCCAAACTACATTTGCAGTTCGGAAAACCGCAGTCTGCGTCCAAGAGTGTTAGTGCAGTCCCTGCCTCCTCATGCTTCCTCTGAGGGTCGAACGAGAGAGGGGTGACCAAAGAGAGCCATGGGTGACCTTGCCTATGATCCTTAATAGAGAAGAAGAATTTTCGAAAAGCCACCCCACCCAACAACCAATAGACCCAGGGCAAACCAATAGCCACCCCACCCAACGACCAGTAGACCCAAGGCAAACCAATAGCCACCCCACCCAACGACCAGTAGACCCAGGGCAAACCAATAGCCACCCCACCCAACGACCAATAGACCCAGGGCAAACCAATAGCCACCCCACCCAATGACCAGTAGACCCAGGGCAAACCAATAGCCACCCCACTCAACGACCAATAGACC